CCGGGGCCGCGGGGGCTGCCGGGGGCTCGCCGTGTGCCTATTGCGCCTGCGCAAGCCTCCCTAACCCTAGGCTCCAGCCCCGCCCAGACCTGGGAAGGGGGCGCCTCAAGGCTGCAGCGGAGGGAGTCCAGGGCCCGCAACAGTAGCGGAGTTCCTATCCCTTGCCTTGCCCCGGGAGCCACATGTGCGCCTGGGGTACTTCTGAAGACCAGCCGCCGCTGGCTGCCAACTTCTCTTGAGGGATTCCAGGAGGCCTCCATAACCTGCCAGACACTTGCCTACCAGGTTCTACTGGGCCTGCTCTTCCCCTGCCCTCACTTAGTCCAATGGGAACGCGGGCCCTCTGCGGACCAGCCAATGGAGGGTGCGCTTGCCTGGAGGTGGGCGGGGCAGTTGGGCTGGGCAACACCCCTACTAGTCTACGAGAGCCGAGGGAGATCCTTGTACGCCTTGGCTTGCTGTCCCTGCTCAGATCCTGCTGTTGTTGCCACATTGCTCTTAAGGAGTTCCTTGAGTTCCCATTAAGAAATTAGAGAAAAGCGGCTGATCGTTTTTTCACTTGTGGATGTTTTCTCTGGCTTACCAACGTATTACCTATGGATTCAATGTGTCTGAAACTTCTTTCAGGCATAAAGTTGGCAGTGATAGTATTGTATCATTAGAAAACAATCGTTCCAAGCCAGGAACATCCGCCCAGACCACAAATACTGTTTATTGACGAGTTCCTGCACGTGCTACGCAATTCACGATCCTGGGGTTGGTGTAATGAACAGAGCAAATAAGATCCCTCTTCTTCTGGGACTTAGATTTCAGTGGAGAAGAAAGATGGCAAATCAAATGGAACTAGAAAAATAAAGCCGTAGAAAGAGGGAAAATTAATGTGTAGCGGGAGTTTGAGTTTTAAGGAGGATGATTGGAAAAGACCTCAGGGGTGTGAGGAAGCAAGCCATGCAGATGTCTGGGGAAAGTTGTGCCCAGAAGTGGGAACAGCAAGTAAAAGACAGGAGGCAGAACTACTGTTGACATGTTTAAGAAGCAGCAGAAAGCCATGGATGGAGGAAAAGCTAGGGATAGGATTGAAGACAGAGAAGTAAAGGGAGGATAGACAATGAATAGGCCATTTCAAGGACTTGGACTCAAGATGGGAGGCTATGGAGCCATAAGCAGAGGAGTGTCATGACTGACTTGGGCTTTAATGGGGCCACTGCTCTTTTCTGCTGAGAACAGCCTGTAGAATCCAGGAGATGAAGAAGGGAGTCCAATGAAAAGGCCAGTGGAGTTGTCTAGGCAATGGGAAGAGAGTAGTGTGGTTGTGAATGTGATGGTGAAATCTCATCAGATTTCAGAGAACTTATGATTTGTAGATGGAATAGACGCAGCATGAGAAAAGAAAGAAAAATACTTGGGAATGACTGAACTCTGGCGATTTAATACAATCCTGGAAGAATGGAGTTTCTAGGTTCTGGGTGCAGGTCAACCAGAGGTTGGTTGTAAATTTGTGTAACTATTGAACAGGCAGCTGCAGGTGTAAATCTGGAGCACACATGGAAGTTGAGGCCAGAGATACAAGGTCAACAGCATTTGGAGGACATTTCAAGCCAAGAGACAGAGTTAGATCACCCCAGGATGGAAGGCAGATGGTAACAGAATCAAGAACTGAGACCCAGGCCATCCCCATAGCCAAGTGGTTAAGCATTGGGTGTTGGAAGCCAGATCCTATATGACTGACCACAGTTTATATCCTGGCCCTGGAAGCTTGAAAAATACTCTGGCCATGTGTGTGTGTGTGTGCCCAAAATCCTCAGAAGGAGAAATAGAGGAAAAGGATCGCAGTGTGACCCCCCCACCACAAACACACACACACACACACACAATGTTCTCTCTCTAGCAAATGCATGCACCCCCTCTGGCAATTTATAAAACAAAAGGAATAGAGTCTCCTCATAGGGATGGGGAGGCCAAGGAAGACCAGCCAGTGAGGTGGGCTCCTGAAGAAGCAGGAGTCTATGTGATCTGGAGCTCAGAGAAGACAGGTGAGGGAGTGGTCAGCTTGCAAATATTCTTGGATGGGGCACTGAAGATAGGCCATTTGGTTGTGGCCATTACTGATTGACAAAAGCAGTTATTGTGGAGGGTATGGTGCGAAAGTGTTTGGAGACAGTTTCAGAGAGAAAGGGGCAGGAAGACAATAGAAGGCAGTGAATATCTTTGATCACTTGTTGAATAGAGGAACAGAGAAATGGACTGTAATCTTTTATTATTAATTTTTTTGAGAGGTTTTTGCAAAGGGCGCGTGCGCTTACCAGAAAGACAGAGAGAGACAGAAAGCAAGAAATCACCCCCCTCAGGGGGGATGGCCATGTTGCAATCCCTTCTCCATTCTCCTCTCAAGATCTTGGGCACGCATGCACATGTGCCCGGCGTGAGTTTAAGCCACCAGGTCCAGGACTCAAACCACGGTCGACTATGTGGGAGTCCAGCGACATAGGCATTATGCTAACTGCTGGTCCCTGGACTGTAATCTTTTTAAAATATAGAGTAGCCAGTCTGCCCAAGAATACAAATTAAGAATTGAGTTAGGGTCTAGACAGTTGTGCAGCAGTAACAGTAGCACAACTGGACCCATGTGAGTACACGGTCCTGGGTTTGCTTCCCAGGGCTTCCTATACATGAAGGCCATCCATGTGTGCCCTTGATTAGAGCAGGCTGAGGCTGGGGGTGAATTGTAGTGTGAAGACTCAGTTGGAAGTGTTTGTCTCTCTTACTCTGTCTTTCATGGAAGAAATAATAAAAAAAAAAAAAGAAAGAAAAATTGAGTGAACTATTGGATTCTTATATGTAATTGCTTTTAATGTGTGTTAAGGTTGAGTGTTGTGAAGTGATGGCAAGGTAATTTGTTTTAGTTTAGAATGCATTTTTGTCTGTTAACTACCATTAAAGTAATTTTTCAAATTTGACAGAGGACACATGTGAAACAGAGAAGGAAAGGGAGAAAGCACCTCCAATGTCATAGTGCATTCCCTTCTCTGTCTCTTTATCCTGTTGAGAATTTGAGTACACATGCATACATACCAAGTATGTTTTTTCCAAGCCACTGAGTCTGAAACGTAAACCACATGATCAGCCATGTGAGATCTGGTTCTCTTAACCATTAGGTCAAGGCCATAAATTAAAATTTAAAAACGTTTAACTCACAAAAGTAGCATATCCCTGAAAATACTGAACTGTCTTCTTTGTGTCCCATTGGGCATCAGCTGACCAGCAAAAAAATTTTACTTATTTCTTTTATGATGCAGGAACTTTAAATATCTCAATGAGTTACTCTGTTTGGATTTTAATTGGTGTTTTGTAGTCTCTGGATAGTTGACTATATTTATGTGGGTTAATTTTTCAGCTCTTTATTTTATCTCATTAATCTATTAGTCTATTGTTTGTTTATCCATAGGGTGCATGTGCAAGAGAGAGAGAGAGAGAGAGAGAGAGAGAAATTACACCCTGGGTGAAGGCCACACTGCAATCCCTTCTTCTTTATTCTCCTCTTGAGATTTTGGGCACATACATACACATACACCTGGAGTGTTTTATGAGTTGCCAGATCAGGGACTTGAACTGCATAGTTGACCCTGTGGGATACAGCTACTTTAACTTCCTATTTATCTATTCTTTCATCATGTATTAGTCAGCATTCTCTGGGAAAACTGAACCAATAGGATAAGTATAGATATATAAAAGGAGATTTATTAGGGGAATTGATTTATGCAATTATGGCAGCTAAAAAGTCTCATAATAGACCCTCTTCAAGCTATAGATCCTGGGAGCTGGTAGCATGACTCAATACAAGTCTGAAGGCCTCTGAGCCTGAGAAGCTGTTGATGTAATTCACAGTTCAAGGTTGAAAGCCCAAGTACAGGGGTGTGGGGAGGCCGTGCGGGTGTGAGTTCTGGAGTCTGAAACCAAGCAAGCCTTGAGTTCTGATGTCCAAAGCAGCAGAAAAAGCCTGTCTTGCTCTCTCTCAAAAGAGACCCATCACATTCTGTGTTCTCTCCAGGTCCCTTGTTGATTGGATTGTGCCTACCCACATTGAGAGCCATTCTTCCCTACCTAATCTACTGACACTTCCCACATTAATCTCTTCTGCAAACAGCCCCATGGTCACACCCAGAATAACCTCTAATCAAGTTTCTGGGTACTCCTTAGCCCAGTCAGATTGACAGCCCAAACTAATCATCAAACAACAATACTACACCATCTTGTTTACCACAGCTTTATAGTAAGCCTAGATGTCAGATGGTGTCAGTCTTCTTCAGTATTGTGTTGGGTACTGAGATTTTTTGACTTTCTATATAAACTTGAGAATTTGTCAATATTCGCAAGATAGGGTCAGTCCAATAGCTGGTGGATCTGGTTAATGGAGCCAGATCCTACATGGTCAACCATAGTTCGAGTCCTGGCACTTGAAGAATGTATTAGCCATGTGTGCTTGTGTGAGTGCCCCAAATCCCAACAGGGTGAGAAATGGATGAAAAGGAATTGCAAGATGATGAGGGGGATACTTTCTCCATCTCTCTCTAGTGAGTTCACGTGCCCTCTGGCAGCTAAAAACATTTTTTTTAAAGGTTTTTGCCATAGGGTGTATGAACGCACCAGAGAGAGAAAGAGAGAAATAGTGAGAGGGAAAATGAGAACTTACCTCCCAGAAGGGAAGACCTGGGATTTCCCTCTTCCATTCTCCTCCTCAAATTTTGGGCATGCATGCATAAGGGCCTTGTGTTATTTTCAAGCTGCCAGGTCCA